TAAACGGGTAATTTGCACTGATCTAAAAGTTGTATCAATCATATTGAGACAACGAAGTGATTTTACAAAATTCCCATGTTTCTTATGTGAATGGGACGACAGAGCTCGTGATGATCATTATAAAGTAAAGGTGTGGCCACTAAGGAATAATTTGGTTATAGGCTTGATTAAGGAGCTAGTGAAAGCTTTGAAAAAGAGAAATAATAAAGTCTTTCAATATCTCTTTTCCAAGTACCTGAAGTTAACAGAAGCAAAAATTAAAGGAATTTTTTATGAACCTCATTGATAAGAGAATTGATAAAAGATTTGAAATTTTTAAATAGAATGACAATGAACGCAAGCTTGGCAAAGTTTTTTTCGATGTAAAATATTTTTAGGCTACACAGAAATCCAAATTATGAATAAATAGTTATGAACTTGGTGGTAAACTACGAAGCTGTTGGATGTTTAATGAGCCTCAAGGTTCACGTTTTATATTCTCATTTGGACACATTTCAAAAAAATCTTAGAGGTTATAGTGAAAAGCAAGGTGAAATATTTCACCAAGGCATTAAAGAGACGGAAAGGTGTTACCAAGGGTTTTGGGGCATTAATATGATATCGGATTACTGCGGGATCCTGAAAAGGGATACCACAGTCAAACACAGAAGAAAAGCGCTAAGAAGAACATTCAACGAAAGATGCAGACCAAAAACACGCTGACATTAAAGATTGATGGTTTCAAAAAGTGAGAAGCAAGTATCTCTGTTTAAATTACCTCTCTCATGAGATTCACAACGTGACAATCCTTTCATGAATTATTTTTCTAAATAACATTGAAATACTCAACCTGATTATGAGTTTCAGAACTTAGTAAATATCGGATTTGAATTCTACGATAATGAAAAGCTATATAGTCGTTTATTGTATTAAAAAACTTTTTTCTTCAAATTGAAATTTAGAATACCTTGAGGTATCTTCTAGTTTTCTCAAGGATGAAAACAATATTTAGGATTAACCGGGATGAAAACTGCACATCTTTATAAACAAAAAATTATTCATAAGTTTTTCTCAATCTGACCTTGGAATACCTGTTCGCGTGAATTAGTGTCGATATCGATACGTTTCTACCGCCGACATAGTTAAATTATTTAGACAAATCTGAGTAGCACGCGAAGATCAAGACTTACAACGAGTCTTATGGTCACCTATTCCGTAAAAATCACCAATCGATTACCGCCTAACAACAGTTACTTATGGCACCGCGTGTACGCCCTACCTCGCAATACGCACGCTTCTTCAACTCGCTCGTGACGAAAAAACGCGCTTTCCACTCGGCGCGGCGTGCCGATGAGCTGTCGACTGCTGTCTGTAAACGAGACGAGCTCATCAAGATTTTAGAATCAGCGGGCATCACATTGGACAAATGGGCAGTAATCCCAAATCTTGAGTTCTGCGGAGCTACCCTACTCGTCAAGTAGTACATTTGCTGAAACTAAGATTTTTGCAAAACATTCCCATCCGACTCTAGTCCGATATCCAAATCGTTCTTGCTTGGCTCAAGAAGCACCCATGTTACTGGAAAACATTCGTCGTTAATTCAAACTGAGCTGTCTTCTGCGACTTGGTCGTATGTGTCCAGCTGACCTAGCCACATGCGGCGCGACGCTCGATGAGTTGCGTACAAATGATGTCTGGTGGGCTGGCCCTACTTGGATAACATCTGCACCTGATAGATGGCCCCAGCCACCAAAACCAGTGCAATCATTACATTCTAGGCCAACTATCAGCGAGCCGGAATTATTCTCAAGATACTTAAACCTCAACCGTCTCATTCGAATAAACTCATGGTGCCTGTGTCCCTTTCTGCAGCGAATTCGAAAGCAAGCTATGCAAGGCTCATACCTATCGCACCTCACTACAAGTGAACTAGCTAATGCTGCGTTTCGCATAGATAGTTGGTATGAAAGCGTTAGCTAAATTCGCAATACGAAAATGCGTACTTTGTCAGCGTCACGCTCCCCGCTTGGCGCATCAACTCATGGGCAATCTACCTACGAAACTGGTGACTCCAGCACGACCATTTACGAACACAGAATTGGACTACACCGGACCGTTTCATCTGCGAGCGTCAAAGGGTAGAGGTCGAACAACATATAAAGGCTACATCGTCCTTTTCGTATACTTCGCCACTAAAGCACTTCATTCGGAAGTCGTCGGCGATCTTACGACATCCTCATTCCTTGCGGCCTTCCGTCGCTTCGTAAGCAGAAAAGTTATATATAAGAAACTCTTTAGCGACAATGCCACCACCTTTCATGAAGCTAATGCTGAGCTTCGAGACGTGTTTAGGGCTGCTTCCGACTTCTACAAGGAATCGGCTAGCTTACTTAGCAACGACGGGACTGAGTGGACGTTTATTCCACCTATGACACCTCACTACGGAGGACTATGAGAGGTGGGCATCAAATCCACAAAAATTTTATTAAAAAATTTGATTGGAGAATGCTTCCTCACATTCGAAGAATTCATTCCTATCTTGGCCAAAATCAAAGCATGTCTCAACTGTTCCGGAAAACCGTCTCGACCGCTTCTAGCTGCTCCAACGAATTCGCGATTAATTTTGGAAGTGCTGGTCAAGCGAATACTTACTCTTGCTACAAGAGCGCGACAAGTGGCGAGATCCAACGGCAAACTTCACCGTCGGTCAGCTAGTACTTATGAAGGACGACCGTTATCCACCAGCCAAATGACCTCTCGGGCGTGTGCTCGAACTACGTGCCGGCGCAGACGGCCTCGTTCGAGTCGTAACAATAAAAACGGCAACCAACACCCTGCGTCGACACATCGCCTGCCTAGCACCACTGGACCTTCACCTGCATGAGCCGCAAAAAGAAAAGACCAAGCGGGAAGGCGAGCGAAACTTTAGCTTAATTAATCATTGAATATTCGTCCTGTGGACGAAGACGGGCGGAATGTTCGCGGCGTTAGCGCTTCATGTACGCATCAGCATCGAGCGAAACTGTAGATTCGGACAATTAGTACGAGGCAAGACGTCTGTGCTTCGTGTACCGATTCTCAGTCTCGTCATGTTTCAAAAAAACTTGAGCGCCGGCTTTCACTCGAACCTGTACGTCGTAGAAGAGAAAGCGACCACATGTTTGGGTGATTGCGCTCGCTATAGCCAGAAAAGTTAAGGGCTGTCCCTTCCTCTCCCTTACTCTAACCAGGCCTCTTCTCCGGGCCTAACGACCAAGGGCGTCGCCCTCACCCCTAGTTTTTCATCGCGTGATGAACTCGGGCAGTGAGTGCTGAGCTCTGGTCGCGAATGCGTCCGCGTAATAACCGATGGCCAAACTGTGAAGTGTGCAGAGAGTTAGCGTGCGAGTAGTGTTTTTTTTGTGAAGTGTGCCAGCCGTGATTGGTGCAACGAGCCACAACGTCAGGGCCAGTTTGTAATAACATTCTAAGTGACCCTGAATGGCTTTTTCCCTACCTAAGACTGAGATTTTTTATGCCGGGCAGGTGTCACATTCTAACTTTTGTTTATTTGTTTAATAAATCAGTGTAATTTACTTCGTCCTTTAATATTTTTTAGCGGACTCACATCCTCTTCTATCTACCCTTTATATTTCGAGCCGCTAACGGTTTTTATTCATTCAATTGAAACAATACCTATGAATGACTTTCGCAAGTTGCAGAACTTGAGAATCAATATGTTCATCGATTGTACATCATAACACACATTTCTTTTCCCTTTGACCTCTAAGTAAAGTTCTAATGACCTCTATATTACTGTGAGTCTGAGGTTACAGCCTCGCAAGTAAAAGGATTAAAAAAATTGGGCCTATTGGGCATTTAATGTATTATTGGGGTTAACCGTGTGTAGTTATAGAATCACAGGTCACAGGGCACGACGATTAAGGAAATTGGGGTTTATAAGTATGGAGTTATATCAGTTACTTGAAAAATGAACAAATTGACCTTGAAATATCCTCTTACTTTGACACAATGGCCTTAGATAAATCTCACCATTGATTTAAGCATACAATAATACATGAGTGTTTATGATTAAAGCACATAGGACATATTAAATGCCGGCTTACAAGGGTCTAAAGCAAATTTGGTCTGTCACTTGTTTGACCTTCAGATGACCTACAAGAGTCATGTTGATAAAACGCAAAAACAAGTATTTAAACGTAAAATTTTTCGCTTTTTCCGAATTCGTGGTCGAATTTCGATTCCGCTGCAATGAAAACGTCTCACTTTCAAATACTCTTCAACCTGATGTGATGAAGATTATTCAGCACATCTAAATACATAACAATCAAGTGGTCTAGTTAAAGTCAATCGAAGATTTTTATGCAAATTTATTTGAACATCAAATTCTATTTTACAAAACTGCTTTGGTAACGGCACTAATCCTCGGAATGATTGTTTAAATAGTGTGACTTATTCTATTTGCGCTTCTTATATCGAGGTGAGAAAGAGATTAGTACTATTTAACAATAGATTTCGCCCGAATGAACAATTTAGCAATAGGAGCATTCTATCTTCCAGACTATTCTTTCTTAAATAATTTGTAAGGCTAGTCGCGGATCGAGTCATCTAGATTCGTGAAATAGATTATTTCCTCTTTACATATTTAGATTTTTTATTCAGGGTCGACATTCAAGCAATTTGGTGAAATGAAGTTTGATCTTCAAATTAATTTGCAAAAAGCATTGAGTCGAATCTAGATTACCTGGACTGTAACGGAGGCTAAATCAGGAATTCGTAACGGAGAATGTTCGCTTTCTAGTGGTTTCCCTGGTTTTCACTCTCTGCCGTGCTAATCTGTCTTCACAAGGTCACGAGCATAAGTGTATATTTGTGTCATAAAATTCACACGAATTATCCGTCTACAACAATGCCGCGAAGTATGCGTGCAGCTCTAGCAATAACTACAAAGGTTACAGTTAAAAGAACAAAACGAGCTGCAAAAGAGACGACTGTCTCGCACAGCAGGAAATAGATCACGTATGATAACCCTTCAAGAACCAACAGGTCAAGGTTCGATAGATCAACAACCTAGTGACAAAGTGCAGCAAGCGCACTACCCCATAAAAGCAGACGTTATCGCAGTAGAGCGGCCTAGAATAGATTCTCCACCTGGCAATCAAGTTTATCGCTACGTAGCACATCAAAAAGAAGATAGTATAAGATCAGGTGACGATGTAGATCTTCAAAGCGAAAGACAAGGTATCAACTTTTAATCACCTTGCCATTAGTAGCCAAAATATGAACAATCAAGCGAATGCGCGTCTTTAATGTATATGCGAATAATAATGCAAGTGTTGACATGAATATTTCTATCGGGCAAGCAATAATGGAAACTTTGCGCGCGGTCAGAGACGTTGCCTCCAGTGAGGGAGGATCGTGATTAAGGGAATGTCCATTATTTTTAAAGAATTACTTGAATTCACTGAGGATTCTTTTGAATCGATTTTCTTTGAGAAAATGTTTCGCGATTCAACCAACGATTTTGAATATAACATAGCGATAATATAGTTCGTTTACAAAAAAGCAATTAGCGTTAGAGGCCAAGTTTAAAAACAAAATCTTATTAGCTCCCACGTCATCAGCCAAAGCTGTCATGAATTCTTTGAAGATGCGATTCGGTAATCTAGCCGTGATAACTGACAGAATTTCTCAAAATATTGAGAATTTGCCTTCGATGAAAAAAGAAGAGGCGAGTATTGTGGAGTTCACCACAGGATTAAACAACGAATTAACGAAATTTAAATCGCTGTATCTGACGGAATATTTAGCTGGTATACCAGTTGAAAAACTGCAACGGGAAAACTGCCGGCAAACTTACAAATAGCATTCGCGGATCACCTAATGTCATCTACCGGCAACGAATCAAAACTAGAAAAATTATATACGAGAACAACAGGTAGAGCGTACAGGTTAAAAATCAAAAATAAATAATGTGTAATGTGGGAAACTTCCAAGCGTCGGTATTTGCGTGATTAGCGCAAGTATACGGACAATGGTTCTCTCGCATGGAAGAAAAATGAGAGCAAAAATGGGTATTCAAAGCTGAAGTGAATTTATATAAGCTGAAATTAAGAGATATAAAAGGTTCTTGAAACATAATAAATTGGCAGCTCGTTGAATAGGATTAGATTAGTGTTCTGAAACAAAATAATAAAAAGTAAAGGTAATTTTTCAACGAGCTGCTAATTTATTATTTTTCAAGAACTTTTTATATGTCTTAATTTCTATTTATATAACTTCAGTAAAATAATTAGATTATCTGATTTTTGTACTACAGTTATATATATTGAATAACTTTAGAACAAAAATCAGATAATCTAATTATTGTACTGAAGTTATATAAATAGAAATTAAGAGATATGAAAGATTCTTGAAAAATTATAAATTTGTAGCTTGTTGAAATTTTAAAAGAACCTTTTATATCTCTTAATTTCAGTTTATATAAATTCAATACAATAATTATGATATCTGATTTTTGTTCTAAAGTTATTCAATATACAGGGTGGCCCATTTTAAGTGATCCACTCAGATATCTAGATTGGAGTGAGTTTTATCGAAAAAAGTTTCAGACAAAAGTTACTCAACTTTGAGGGGGCCATGTTTCTATGACCTTGGATTTGACCTTGGAGGTCATGTTCAAGGTCATTTCAAGGTCAACTTTGTTTTTTTAAATAGGAACCCCCATTTTTGACCCCGGATTCGGAAAGAGCGGGAAATTTTACGTCCAAAACGGTATTTTTAAATTTTTTTTCATGGCCTTGAGAAGGTCGATTTAAGGTCAAATGCTTGAAAAACTGCATAAAAGCATTTTTTTAATTTTTAAGATATCGAAAAATGACCTCTACAAAATTTGTTCAGAACAGAGTGGGCCACCCAATGCACCAAAAATCTTTGACCTTTAACCTCATTTTGAAGGTCATTTCAAGGTCGAAGTGTTTTTTGTAATGGAAACCCCTCTTTTTAACCCCGGATACGCACATAGCACGAAATCCGACGTTTGGATAAGGTATTGTGTTGAGTTTCGCGCTATGTGCGAATCCGGGGTCAAAAAGAGGGGTTTCCATTACAAAAAACACTTCGACCTTGAAATGACCTTCAAAATGAGGTTAAAGGTCAAAGGTTTTTGGTGCATTGGGTGGCCCACTCTATTCTGAACAAATTTTGTAGAGGTCATTTTTCGATATCTTAAAAATTAAAAAAACGCTTTTAGGCAGTTTTTCAAGCATTTGACCTTAAATCGACCTTCTCTAGGCCATGAAAAAAAATTTAAAAATACCGTTTTGGACGTAAAATTTCCCGCTCTTTCCGAATCCGGGGTCAAAAATGGGGATTCCTATTTAAAAAAACAAAGTTGACCTTGAAATGACCTTGAACATGACCTCCAAGGTCAAATCCAAGGTCATAGAAATATGGCCCCCTCAAAGTTGAGTAACTTTTGTCTGAAACTTTTTTCGATAAAACTCACTCCAATCTAGATATCTGAGTGGATCACTTAAAATGGGCCACCCTGTATATAACTTTAGTACAAAAATCAGATATCATAATTAGTGTAGTGAATTTATATAAACTGAAATTAAGGGACATGAAAGGTTCTTGACAAATAACAAATTAGCAGCTCGTTGAAAAATTACCTTTACTTATTAGTATTTTGTTTTAAATCACTAATCTAATCCTTTTCAACGAACTGTCAATTTATAGTTTTTCAAGAACCTTTCATATCTTTTAATTTCAGTTTATATAAATTCAATACAATAATTATGATATCTGATTTTTGTTCTAAAGTTATATATTTTGAATAACTTTAGAATAAATATCAGATAATCTAGTTATTTTACTGAAGTTATATAAATAAAAATTGAGAGATATGAAAAGTTCTTGAAACATAATAAATTGGCAGCTCGTTGAATAGGATTAGATTAGTGATCTGAAACAAAATAATAAAAAGTAAAGGTAATTTTTCAACGAGCTGCTAATTTATTATTTTTCAAGAACTTTTTATATCTCTTAATTTCTATTTATATAACTTCAGTAAAATAATTAGATTATCTGATTTTTGTACTACAGTTATATATATTGAATAACTTTAGTACAAAAATCAGATATCATAATTAGTGTAGTGAATTTAGATAAACTGAAATTAAGAGATATAAAAGGTTCTTGACAAATAATAAATTAGCAGCTCGTTGAAAAATTACCTTTACTTATTATTATTTTGTTTTAAATCACTAATCTAATCCTATTCAATGAGCTGTTAATTTATAATTTTTCAAGAACCTCTTATATCTCTTAAGTCAGTTATAAAAGTGATATAAAAGGTTCTTGACAAATAATAAATTAGCAGCTCGTTGAAAAATTACCTTTACTTATTATTATTTTGTTTTAAATCACTAATCTAATCCTATTCAATGAGCTGTTAATTTATAATTTTTCAAGAACCTCTTATATCTCTTAAGTCAGTTTATATAAATTCAATAGGGCTCTTATTATTCGGTTAACCGGTTAATCGGTTAACCGATTTTATTCGGTTTACAACCGGTTATTCGAATTGCCGGTTTTATCGGTTGCGGTTTACCGGTTAACTGCAAAACCGTTAACCGATCCGGTTAACTAATCCGATTAACCGGATAAAATTTTTTGATTAATTTTTTATATTTTTTTGCATTTTCTTATTAATAGGGATTATACTCGTAGGTATCATATTTTATAATACTTATTGAGCAATCTTTTTTTATTATTACTATCGGTGTGATAACGATATAACTCTAATTTTCTTCTGATAATAGCCATGCAAAAAAAAATTGCGCAAAAATATAAGTTACCTTAAGTGAAAGGTCAGTATGCACAGAATAAGTTAATATAACTTTTTTAAAACAAAAATAATTAAAAACGCAGGTAGAAGATAAAAAAATGTTGTTTTTGGGTTCCACGAAAAAGAGTTATCACTCGAGTGCCAGTTAAACCTTTAAAAATGATTGCAAAAGTTTGTAATTATGTATACACGTACATCAAAGGTTCAAAAAAACTTCAAAAAATTACAAATTAATTAATTAAATTGCTTGTTTTTATTGGCAGAGGTTGTCTTAAATTAAGAATTATTTTATCTTAAAGAGCAAACCCCACCCACCCCAAGTTAAATAAATAAAAATAAAATAAAGTTAGTCTCTTGATTTCAGATAGGTTTCGTCTTACTTCGGTCCGAGCCAAGGGTGTTTTAAATGAAAAAACACTATTTTAATGATGTGACGTTTCGATGCGCAATGGCATCTTCATCACGTGGCGGGCGACACCGAAATCGTTTCGGTAGGTATACAGCGGAAAAAAACGACGACGACGAAACGAGAATTAAGAGAAAAAAAATTTTTTGTTTTTTTTTTCTTCTTTTTTTTCGTTACGAAAATTGCAGACGTTAAAGTATAAAAAAAAAATCAAGCGGAAAAACAAGCACCGAATTAATCCAGCGCTGAAATCTTATTAAAGAATCTAATTAATCAATTAACCGCAACGCACGAGCACGCGCGGGGATGCATAAAATGTTATTTCGTATAATACATACAACACGCGCGAAATAGCACATTACTGTCAATTGAATCCAAGCCTCTCTATACAACTTGCTCGCAGCGCATCTGTAACATCAAATATGTTACTTCAGCATATATAAATTGTTCACAAAAAATAAGTTTTATTGTTTATAAAATATTGGCATGTGTTATTATTAGATAGCAAAATGTCAAATCGAATGAATAGTTGGGTATGGAATTACGCTACAATTGCTGACGATAAAAAGAGCGCAACCTGTAATTTATGCAATAAAAGCATCAGTTATTCAAATTCACCTTCAGCCATCTCAAATCATTTAAAATCGATTCACAAAAGGAGCCCACTTGATATTTCAACTACAGAACCGAGGTATTTCAATAATTTAGAATTTTATTTATATTAAGAAATTTTTTCTTTAACGAATATTATTTCCTTTTCTAATTTTTTCTAAATTCCTTTATTTATTTAATATTATTTGGAAACAATATTTCTCAAATTTGAGAGAATTGCAAAAGATCAACCCCTATGGCTTATTATTCAGTCTATAAATCTAATTTTTAGTTTGTCACAGAAACGAACGATGATAATAATATTTGTAATTTATATTTTACTTTTACTCATTAAATGCTTTTACACTTTTACTACATTTCGAGTATAGGTGATTATTTGTGTTTACTTGTTTTTGTGTGGAATTATTTTAATATAATTATAAAAAACTTGAAACATTTTATTATATTTTAAAAATTGTAACTTAAGAAATAATTTAACTTTGATAGATATTTTTAAAATTTTTTAATCATTTATTTATAAAATATATATTTTTAAAATACATTAAAACTTAGTTTTGTCTTAATACCCGTGTTGAAATTGTTTTTAATCCTATTAATTGCCCTTTAATTGTCTTTTATCTTCTTAATCCTTATATTTTATTATATTTATTATAAATGTATCAAAAATGTATAATTTGTTTTCAGCGAAAACCATGATGCAAGCAGCAGCTCAAGTTTGTCAGCTTCTACTTTATCGTTTACTGAATCTCAAGAATATCACATCCCGCGAAAGCGACAGAGACGAAATGATGGGTCAGGTGTATGCTCTGCTCAACGTCAAGAGGTTATAACCGAAGCAACTGCAAAATTAATTGCCACTAATCTTCTTCCCATCTCTTTAGTCTCAACATCTGGTTTTAGAGATTTTATGGATGTGTTAGAACCAGGTTACAAAGTGCCTTGCGAAAAGACAATACTTCGACGGTTAGAATGCTATTTTGAGGAAGTTAAGTTGAAAATTAAAAAAGACTTAAGCAAAGCGCAAAAAGTATCTTTGACAACTGATGAGTGGTCATCAAGGGCACAAAATAGCTATCTTTCAGTCGAGGCGCAATATCTGGATGAAAACTGCAAAATGCATCATGCAACGCTTTGTAACGAAGTCCTTTTTGCAAGACCAACTGCTCTCAACTTTTCCAATGAACTAAAAACCGTTATCAAAGATTGGGACTTAGAGAATAAAGTGGAAGCTATTGTTCATGATAGTGCATCAGCAATTATTGCTGCTTGTAATCTGCTACCTGAAATACCGTATAGTGTAAAATGTAATGCCCATTTACTACAATTAGTTGTACACGATTGCTTTGCAGCTGTACCAGATTATGAATCTTTGACATCTAAAGGACAAGCAGTTGTTTCACATTTTCGGAGATCGAATATCGCCAGCAATTCTTTAGCTCAACGCCAAATTCAAATGGATATGAAGAAGGAAAAATTGATTCAAAGTTGTAATACTCGTTGGGATTCTAAATATTTCATGTTTGAAAGTTTAGTACAAAACAAAACTCCGATCTCTGCAGTATTAGCAGACAGACAAGTAACAAAAAGAGATGTTGCACAAAAGCTAGAAATTACTGAGAGTAACTGGGTCGACATGGAGAAATTATTGGTTATGTTAAAAGCCTTTCAAGTGGCAACGACTATTTTTTGTAGCCAAACAGATGTTACTATTTCTGTTGTTCGCCCAGTTATTCACTCAATAATCTCTAATCATTTAGCTACAACACCAGAAGATAATGCTGTTTCAAAAAAGTTTAAAAAAGAAGCAATCTCTTCGTTAAAACGGCGATTTCGGTTTGAAGAAAACGACTTTGAAATAGATATTATGCACATATCTCAAGTTTTTGATCCAAGGCATAAGTCTTTATCCTGTGAGAGTGCCGAAATGAAACAAGAAGTAGTTGATTACGTCAAAGGACTCTTGAATGTAGGTGAACCTATGGATACGGAAGACACTAATTCACCGGTTCTAAAATCATCTGCCTTTGATTTTCTTTTTGGAAGTGTACCTGCAAGTAATTGGCAGAGTCAACTACAAATGTACATGGCAGAACCAGAGTTAGGAAGAAATTTGGATCCACTACAATGGTGGAAAAATCATTCTGATAAGTATTCACTGATTTTCAAATTGGCCTTACAGTTTTTATCAGTTCCAGCAACTTCAGCAGCGTCAGAAAGGACTTTTTCCTCTGCTGGAAATATTGTCACTCCGAATAGAAACTGTCTAGGTCCTAATAATGTTAATTTATTAACATTTTTATACCAAAATCGACATTTCATGGCAGACCGATAAGTTAATATAAGTACTTGATGTTACGTATTCATTGTTTTGTATTATTATGTTACAATTATTATGTTACAATAATACGTTTGTTTCTACAATATGTATAATTTTCTTCTTCTACATTATATATATATTGTTTTGTTCTACGTTATTTTGTCTTACTTATTAATTTTTTATTAATAATTTACATATTATAATAGACATTGTATTAATCACAATGTAAAACTATTTTGTTAATGTACATAATGTGTGAAAATGTTACTTGAAAAGATAATTATAATTATTGTAAAAATTTATATTTACGCTTTGCAAAGACAATTAAAAGATATTGTATAAAAAGAGATATTGTATAAAATAAAAAATGATGATTAATCAATGTACAATACTTATTTTTTGACAGTAATCTCAGTCAAAACCAGCGGGCCGCCAGCAGCCTGCTAGCTCCCTGCTAGCAGGCCGCTGGCGGGCTAACTATCGATGTACAACTTGATCAGTTTCCTGGTGCGTAGAGTGACCATTCCCGGAGTCTACAGGGTACAGGTCACTCTGGACACTCATTAGGTGAGTGTCCAAGTGTCCAGGATCACCTTCTTCAGGGTGTGAATGGAGCATATCGTAGTTTTTAGTTTGTGTAATACAATTATGCAATAGGTATGTCTCGAGGTGTTTAAAGCGAACTTTACCAGGGTGTAAAGAGCGCGTATAGTAGTTTCATGCACTAGGTCATTCATTTCATGGGCTCGCCTTCGAATCTGTAATAACGACGCTTCACTCGAATTGACTCTGATGTAATGTGATACGCACAACTAACCGGCACCAACCTGCAATCACAATGCTCCCTTTTACACTCACTCTCCTTCGCGTTAACGTTGAACTGTACGACGAGAATACGAAAATGAAATGCGGTGTATGTAACGTGGTTTCACGAAAACTAGAAAGATAAGGAAAGAAGAAAATCCTTTTTCTTGAGTTTCTCCCTTTCTCGTCTTTCTTTGCATCTCGTGATTAATGTTGCGATATCGAAGATATGTATGTACGCTCTCCTACTCACTTTGCACACAAACTCAAAAATCTCCGCACGCCGAAAAATGACAAATTTGATTGTTTGCTCGCCCTAATCTCACACTGGCAAGCGTGAAATGTGCTAGCTATCGCGACACACCCATTTCTCCCTTTGTTGCACACTTTTCGCACGCCTAACAGAAAACAAAAACGCAATTCACGAAAAAACTAAGTCGATAACCCTACTATTTCTTTATCGCAAATTATTTTGAAATTTTATTTAACCGGTTAACCGCAACCGAAAAATCGCATTATTCGGTTAACCGGTTAACTGCAACCGGAAAACCGCATTATTCGGTTAACCGGTTAACTGCAACCGGAAAACCGCACTATTCGGTTAACCGGTTAACTGCAACCGGAAAACCGCACTATTCGGTTAACCGGTTCACCGATTTCGAGTAACCGAATAACCGACTACCCGGGTACACCTCAAACCGAATAATTGTAAGATCCCTAAAATTCAATACAATAATTATGATATCTGATTTTTGTTCTAAAATTATTCAATATACAGGTTGATTCTGAAACATATGAAGAGTTTGGTACCATTCGATTCGTTTTGAAAAATGGAATAAGATGGTGTGACGTCGGTTGACGAAACAATTCTCAGGCGCACTTTTTGGTCTATCCTTGCGGACAATAACCGGGACGTGCGTTACCACTATCGCGGGAAATTCCTTTTTTCGGCGACGGAGGATCGAAGCTTTGCTGTACCACACGCTAGGCAATATAGCAATACTTCGCGTTATTTTACCACACTCTTGGCAATAAAATAACGTAAAGGGAGCCTATCTAATATGCACTCGACCACACGCTTGGCAATCGAGTGTAACTATCTAAGAAAGAAAATCCCGTACGCGAAACTAGGAAGAGTAAGGAGAGAGAAGTTAAAGGAGAGTATTTAGAATGTAAAAATTTTTATTTAATTTTTCTTACTCACTTTTATAATGGTTTTCCCACACACACAAAAAGATTAACTAGGTCTGGACGAACTTTGAAGAATAGCTAACGAATTCAAAATAGAATTGAATGAACTAAATCTGAGCTGCTAACTTTGAACGAACTGAATTTCGAAAAAAATAATAATGCCTGAATTTTCGTGAAAAGATCTCTTTTATACTTTTTTACAAGAGACTCCCACTCGAAAATCTTTGTCATTTTTGGGCAGGAAGAACTAAAATTTTCTTAACTTAATTAGTTGGAAAATTTGGGGAGTATCTCAGCGTAAGCAAGGTTCGAATCCTAATTGGCCGGGGGCGGAGTGTGCGGGTGTGGCTTCATTTTAGTGTTTTGGGCCCTCTTCGCATAGATGGCCCTCTATGTACTATTCTGGCCTTTATCTATTTAAACTAATTTTATTTAAAATTAATTGTGTGTGTGGTACTCTAATTTTACAAAAATGTTTCTTAATCTATAATAAAACTAAATGATAGAACAAAAGTTAAGAATTACATTTATCTAAGAACAATTAGGATATTAATAGTTTTAACTATTAATTGATTATTAAAAAGTTTTGAGAAATGCTGAAAAAATCAGAGTTAATTGCAACAAATATAATTAATAACTTTCATTCAAGCCATTCTTAAATTGTCTAACGCAAAGTTGAGCGCACCCAACAATTATATATACGAAACTCGTAAAGAAAATGAACCAATAAATACGGGAAGACAAATTTCGCAATTTTTCGAGAGACGTGCAAGCAAATCTGTTTCCTTTAATTTAAAAGAAATTAGCAAAAATGAAAATAAATTATTTAAAATAAAATAATAGTACTGTTGGCAGGATGCACATGTGCGCTACAGATCTCTTCTTTCTAAACATGCGCGCAATCTGACTACTCCGGATGACGCGATCGTAAAATCGCCCTGATAATCTCCAGTACCCGAAAGTCGCCAGATGCACGAGCCGAAAACTGCCGTTCACAGGAAAAATCGTTTTTATTCATCCGCACGCAGTTTTTCATCTTAATTTACGAGCTAAATGTGTGGTCGGTATTTTTTTTCCTTATTCTCTCTTTTTTTTTGAACCACCGTTACAATGGCACAGTTAAAATTTTTTTTTGATAATTAGTCAATTAGATAATCGCGATTGAATGTCAGCCAATGAGCGGCTGGCTACGGCCGACGGGCCGCGCGACGGCGAGTCGCGACGGAGAAGGGAGGTCGACTCGTGCATGTTATTCAACAGGTGACAGAGGTGCTCAACTCTTGACCTGTTACTGCTAGCAGCCGTTATGTTGACGTATTTTGATATTATGAATATCAATAATAATATGGATAAAATTATTAAAAAATACGTTGCAATGTAATAATGCATTACATTGTTTTGTATCGTAAAAAACATGAATTTTATGAAATCAATAAAAACATGTGTACTACATGCGCTTTTACGAAAATATTGCACATTGTGCAATTACTTGTATGTTTAATAAACGCATATTAAACTATACGAATAGTTACAATAGGCATTACTTACATTGTAGCTACATACAATACAATACGTGAAATACATTTATCAAACAAACAATCAATCAATCAATCAATAAATTAATTAATTAATGGTCTGCATTAGTTGCAATAGGGTAATGGATTTAACGCTATTTATTTAATTATCTCAACTTAAGCATCGAATTTTCGATAGTTCAAGGATTTGAATATTTTGTAATATGCAAACTCTCAAACAGTCAAACATCAATAGTTCCAAACATATGAATAGTAATGTTTTTTTTTTTGCTATTCATTTGTTCATTACTATTGATAGACTTAGTTGCAAAATTTTCTTGACACGGTGTACTCCATCGTTGCAAAATGGCAAGAAAAAATGCTTATTCCAACGAGGAGTACACCGATATGGTGTTGTGCTTGGGCTGGGCTGAGGGTAATGCGAATGCAGCTGCTCGACGGTACGCTGAGCTTTACCCTCTCAGAGCACAACACCCCAATCCTCGGACGATAGAAAATACCGTGAGGAGGTTGAGGGAAACGGGCAGTGTCGTGGTCAGGAATCCTGATGGAGGACGCCAACGCCAACGCGATCGCCTTCATGACCCTATCGTCGCAGCTTTCGCCGCCGATCCGACAGACAGCTTGCGATCTGTTTCGCGGCAAGTCTCGGCGGCGTTAGGTGTGGCGTGTTCGTACAGCACTGTACAACGGGTCATGAAGGATGATGGTCAACATGCGTATCATCTCCGGCGAGTGCAGTCACTAGGTAAGTGCATAATTTGTTATTTATAGCGGTTATGTATTCGCATGTAATGACAGGAGGTCGATCCTGTAGTAACTTTGATATGCTGACGGACACCGTATTTATTTTTATGTTTTGATCAGTTATATCTCGGTTTGTATTAAAGACAATGGACCGTTTAATCATTTATTAGAACCTGGAGATCCGCAACAGAGATTGAGGTACTGTCATTGGCTTGTGGACGCGGTTGACGAAGATCCTAACATCTTGGATCGCATTTTATGGACGGATGAATCCACTTTCGGGCGAATCGGAATGTTCAACCAACACAATGAACATGTGTGGGCCCACGAGAATCCATTTGCGGTGCGAGAAGGTATATTTTAAGAATAATATTGTATTTGCTTGCACAACAAAATATTTAACAATATTTTTCAACATAATTTAGATCGTTCGCAGCATAGATATGCCGTAAATGTATGGGCTGGTGTGATTCGTGACCGAATTGTGGGTCCATTCCGTCTACCGCGAAACCTCAATGCTGGTGCGTACATCGATCTGCCAGCTCTTCTAGATGACGTCCTCCCAGATCAAAATAACATCATCCTGATGCACGACGGAGACCCAGCCTACTTTGCGCAGCCTGTCCGGGACTATCTCGACGAGGTAATTGATTACTGTTTGTTTTTTATTAATTTATAAAAAAAAGTATACTGATCTCTATGTTTTTCCAGTCTTACCCTGAGTGGATAGGCCGTGGT